TGGAGACAAATTTCCCAAAGTTAATGTGAATTAACGTGTTGCATTTGTATATGTTAACCTCTCTCTCTGACTATGATTCGAAAAGATCTCCCCAACAAGCAATGAGGAGAAGCAGGACTCGCAATGATTAATGATTGGCTATACAAGAATACAACATACATTACATTATACAAAAATGAATATAAAATATTATCAATATTATAATCCAGTGGATGTTCTTAACATTCAAGAATGAGACTTTATAACTTTCCATCTCAACTTTCAAATTCTAGTGAGAGATACTTACATTTGATGTTATTGATATGGTTCGAATAGGTTTTCTATGGAAAGATACCCGTACTTAATAAAAAAATTACATTATACTTTATAACCTCCAATTGTACAATTTAAACGGTTTAATTCTATTCTTCATGATGTACATGTAACTTTTTGGATTAGTCTTTAATATTGAGATCATATAAATAGAAGTGATGTACACACTATTGAAATAATGAAGTGAACGAAAATTCCAAAAGCACATTCCATACTTATCCCAAATATGAGCATGATGTGTTCATCTTACTCTAAGCATCCATATTGATTTTGGATGGTTCCAAAAATTATTGTTAAAACAATTGTGATTACAAATTTTAAATCTTAGCCATCATTTATAGTAGATGTTGAATGATCTAGATTATATTATAACACTGAGCACCTAGTGGTCATCATCATGATGAGATCGAATGGGTCCTAAAAATTTCTCCTTATTTCCTCCTTAATTTTCTCGTCGTCTTCATCCACAACATCTCAATCTCTTGTATTTTCTTATTATATAATATATGTCACTAATATACCCACAACATCTTTTAATATAAAAGTTAGTTGGAAGATAGATTTGGTCTTAAATATAAAATTTTAGTCCATTTTGCTTTTCATATTTATCATTTTCTCTCAAACTAATTTACTTAACCTATAAATTGATATATTATACTCCTCTGATCCTTAATATAAGACCCTTTTAACTAATTTGATTAGATCAAGGAAGTTAGGTAAATTAGTTAATTATAAGAAAAGCGACATATTTTTCCTAAAATACCATAATCAGCTTTTTTAATACCCTCTCTCCCTCTTCTACTTGATTATGGTTGAGGGAGTATCCATAGGGATAATTTAGAGAAAATTGATAAATATGATAAATGAGTCTTATATTTAGGATCAAAACCAACTCAAGAATTGAGTCCTATATTAAGGACCAGAAGAGTATAAAAAGTCAAGTGACAATTTTGGGTAGGATGAAGTTGCTATATTTTTACTACTTCCGTGGCAAAATTACATAAAAAACTTCCAGATATCCACAACTTCTTTTGGAAAACTTTTGGGGCAAAAATGCTTTTTAAAGGAGATCGTTTGGGTCTGTTAAAGCAGGGTAAAATTGCTATGTTTTTACTACTTTTAGAGTAAAATTGCATTAAAAAAAAAAACTTCTACATACCCACAACTTTCTTTTTAAAAAATTTCAGGGTAAAAATACTATTTAATCCTTTTTCAAATACACTATATTTGCACCCAAAAAAACTTCTAAATCTTTGCTGGTCTAAAGGTTTCAGAAAGATCTGTTTATTCTCGGACTGTATTGAGGCAATTAATCTAACTACTAGGGAGGTGTAATGATAGTTACTCTTTCAAAGATTTGGTGAATGATGTTAAAATAGCAATACATAGGGATTGGCATATTGTTTTTTGTCATGTAGATAGGGAGAGGATTTCCTTGGAAGATCAATTAGCGAAACTCTCTCATAGGATTGACAGCAATTTTTGTATTGCTGATCATTCTTCTCCTTTATGTTTTGAGGCGGACGGTGACGAAGGACAGTAGATTTGTTTAGCCTGTTATTGTACGTTGGTTTTTATTTATTGACTCTCAGTTATCATTCAAAAAAAAAAAAACCACCGGAAGTTGTTGTGCCACTACCAGCCCCCCAGCCGTCACCGATGGGTATTGTCATTTACCACCAATCATCGCGATTGGCCACGGCCATCAAATGTCAACAATGGCAATCATTATTGCCCTTTGGCCGTGGTCGACTCGCCACCATCCGCCATCACCACAGTCATTAATAATCAATGCTGACTAAACCACTTGGTGACGGTGGTCGGTGGCGATCAGGGGTGATAGTGTGGGTCCGACTCGTAGGTCCAACCCAATGTTTTAAAAGCCGGACCGGAAATCAAACCGGAAAGATCAACGGGTCATGGTTCAATCGGTCGGATCGGTTGGACCGTTCGGTTAGACCGGTGATGCAATAATTAATTTAAAACAATATTATATACATATAATTAGTATATATGAAAAATATCAAATTATTAAATAATTTAGAAATGCATTTAAATAATCTAAAATTATAATGAAATCATTGAAAATGGACTAAAACCTTATATATTTAAATTTATGTATGTTTAAAATATTTAATGATATTACAAATTATCAATTCATTCAAATCAAAATATTTTTTTAAAAGATAGACCAAATATCGAATAAAAAGACTAGTGACTCACGATTTTAACACCACAATATATGAAATTTTCAATGAAATAATACTATATGGTTATAAATAGTCTAAAAATATATTAGGATATTTAAGGGGATCAATTTTTTATTTTTCTTCTATTTTTAAAATTTTTTTTAGTATTTTTCAGTCAGGCTAAAAAACCGTCCGGTTTTCTGAAAACCGTTCCGGTTTCTGGCCCAACTCCGGTTTCCGGCTTAATAACGGCTCAACTCCGGTCCAATTCGGCTCAACTATGTGAACGGTTTTTTGGTCCAAACCGAGCCGTTAACGAGTCCGGGTGACGGTTCAACCGGTCCGACCGTCCGGTTCGGTCCGGTTCTTTAATCATTGGGTCCAACCCTTATTAACCAAGTCTTTTTAATTCACACGGTCGAGCTAGCCCATCAATTTAAGGGTTAACTCACATTAATTTATATTTTAAATTTTATTAATTATTATAATTATATTACTTTATGTGATGTCCTATTTTTTAAAACAAAGCCTATATTATTTGTTTGTATATTATATAAAAAATATTTTAAAAATAAATAATTGTCCAAGGTAGGTTTAGGTTGGCATTTTGCAAATGGGTTTTTTTGGCCTACATAATGTTTGAATAGGGTTTTTTTAGGCCTTTTGCTCAGGAGGTGTTTGAATAGAAACAAACCATGGTTTCATGATAAGCTATGCGTGGTGATTGATGGTAAAAAAATATTTTAAATAAATTTTTTAAACTCTTAAAACTACTTCCAAATCAATATAATCAAATATACTTTTATTTTATTTTATTTTGAAAAATAATTTTTACAAATTGATTTATAAAAGGAAAAAACTCAAACAAGTTCAAAATAAACCCTCTTGAGGCCTTTCATAAAGGAAAACATGGGGCACATTGTGAACATGAATAAAATTGACAAATGTCCCTAATATTTTAATTTAAACCCACTAAATACAATCTCTAATATAATTTTTATTAAATACTTTCCTTACATAAATTTTATTTTTTAGGCTTTCTAGAAATCTTGTTACTTTATAATAGAAAAGGTAATATGATGACTTTCTCTTACTTTTAATGCATTGTAATTGATATTACTACCTCCGATCCTAATTATAAGAGCTAGTTGACTATTTTTAGGAGATTAAGAAAATAAGTTAAATTAGTTATTTGTAATAAATAGGGGTTGTCTTTCCTAAAATATCCTTACTAATCAAGTTTATTGGTTAGAACTACTATTATTAGAGAGACTATATTAAAAAAAATGCATAAATATAAGAGATAAAGTGAATTGGGGTCTTATAATTAAGACCAAAATAAAAATCAAACGAGATCTTACATTAAGGACCAGAGGTAGTGTATTGAATTTAATGTGTTTCATATGATTATATTATAATTATAATATATTATAATAAAAAATAAATAATATTAATTATAATTATTATTTATTAATATTAATTAATTAATAAAATGAAAAAAATTGAATAGAGATAATGGTGTGGAAGAAATGAAATTGTTTTTATAATTTTAATGAGTTATTTATTCATTGTACGTATTATTATATTTTGTAGATGTGCATTGTCTCCAAAATTCAAAGAACTTAATTATGACTTTCATGCACCATGTTTTTAATACATCCTTCTCTATTTATGAATTCAAGCTATTAAGTACAGGAACATTGAAATGTATCAAATATACATTCGTGATTCTTTAATTTTTGGAAAATGGACATAATAATTGTTGCTGATGTAATTTATGTAATACTATAGATAATTAATTTGAAAATATTAAGAGTTGATTATTTGTGATGAATTTGTGTTGATTTTCTTAAACTATCATATTTAATCATGTGTATCGAAATTACTTCTTCTCATAATCAATAGAGGAAAAAATTATAAATTTGAAAGATAAAATAGATTAAATTTTTATATCTAAAATCAAATTTAATCCCTAACTAGTTTTTATATTAAAAACATAAGGCAGTACTCAAAATGATTTGGCTCAGCAGATACTTGACACGATATCAAATTTTAATAATTAAGTTATATGAGTTTACGTGTTCGACTTTTGGTGAGTACACATAACGTGTGCATGCCGCATGAGTTCTTTAGCATGAAAATTTTAAATTTCAACTGTTAAAGTCAAATCATTCTATAAGTTAAGATAAAATTTTTTTCACATGTTTATTTTATACACCGAGTAATGTCCCAAAATCATTTCCAAAATGTTAAATCAAAGCATTTCTAAAATCAACAATGGCCTCCTTTGTACTTTCAAAGGTAATAAAACCTTACGTCCTTCTCTTCAACAACACATGCATTTGCCATTTTCGTCCTCTTCTGTAACCGTGCGCGTTCCTCTCACTACTTCAGAAAGCCTTCTTCTCCTTCTTCTTCGTCTTCTTCCCAATCATTTTCTTCTCACACCCTTACCATCAACATACTGGTAATCATCTCAGAGCAGCACCAAATAGAAACATGGAAACAATAAAGCACAGAACAGTGGAAGTGAACGGCATCAAGATGCACGTCGCAGAGAAAGGAGACGAAGGTCGTCCTGTTATATTGTTCCTCCATGGCTTCCCTGAGCTCTGGTACACCTGGCGCTCCCAGATCCTCTCCCTCAGCTCCCTAGGGTTCCGTGCCGTCGCTCCGGATCTCCGCGGTTTCGGCGACACGGAGGCGCCGCCTTCCGTCACCAGCTACACCTGCTTCCACATCGTCGGCGACGTGGTGGCCCTCATCGATTCTCTGGGCGTGGATCAGGTGTTGCTGGTGGCTCACGATTGGGGAGCCATCATTGGTTGGTATCTGTGCATGTTTCGTCCCGATAAAGTGAAGGCCTATGTGTGCCTTAGTGTGCCTTGCATGCCCAGAAACCCTCGAGTTAAGCCTCTTGATGCTTTTCGAGCTTTGTATGGAGACGATTATTATATCTGCAGATTCCAGGTTCTTCTCTTCTTCTTCATCTTCATCTTCATCTTCTTCTTCTTCTTCTTCTTCTTCTTCTTATTTTGCTTTGCTAATTTCAACAGATCTCGAACTTAATGGTAGATATGTTATTTGATTTGTGAATATGCTCGACGAGGAGACCTAGAGAATAATAGTTTCATTATGGTACTTTGCATGTGGGGATTTTTATGTCAATTTCCTAAAACGCGTTATGAATTCAGAAAAAATATATAAAATTGGACGTAGTCTACGTTCATCTTTTTGATGATGTTATCTTAAACTTGTTTGAGAAAATTTTATAAAATGTGACTGAAGTGCTCACTTTAATTAATTATTACTTTCGATCTTAATGGTAAGATCTCGTTTGTAGAGTATAAATAAAATCTTATAATTAAAAATATAAGCAGTATATAGTAATCATAGGCGACCTATACGTGTTCCTATACTTGTTTTCCTTATCAATCATCAAACACAACATAAAATAGAACCAATTTCGGTACTTATTGCAGTAATAAGCACTATGATGCTTACTAAATATTAATCGTTCAAATTTAATATGGACGGTTGAGATTTAATTTTTTATATTTTTGTTTTTTTAATTTTTTTTTCTTTTTATAAGTATATAATCTAAAATCAATGAAAATTTTTATGCCATTTCTTGAAGCGTGCTATGAATATATTGGAAAAAGTCTATATCCATCTTCTCGACGTTATCTCAAGTTCAAAGTTGTTTTGGGAAAATTTTATAGCACGTGACTGACTGAAGTGATGTTCATATTAATTATATTGTAACTAAGAGTAAACGGCATATACTTGTTTCCTTATCAATTATTAAAAAAAAACCATATAAAATGTGAAATCAATTTCCCCTGCTTATTGTGGTGGTATCATTATTGCATAATAGGTACGGATTTAAAATTAGTTAAATTAATTATCTGTAATAAATATATATTAGTTTTTCTAAAATATTTCCTTTAATAATTATCAATGAAACTCCTCTCATATATATATATATATATATATATATATGCACTCAATGGAAATAATTTAGAAAAAAAATTTATAAATTCAATAAACAGTGCCAACTAACTTAGTTTCTATATCAAGAACTAGAGACAATACTATTATACATAGGATGAAAGAAGGGCCATGAATCATGATTCTCTGGTTTATGTTACAACTAGACAGATGACTATTGTCTTGCACAAATTTTGGTGAGTTATATTATTCACGACTTACATGGATAATCTAAATCCATGCAGATTAGATATTATATATATTATCTTAGGTCCTTAATATATGATTTAGTTAACTAATATGAGGATATAAAAAAATTAGTTAAGTTAATTATTTGTAACAAATGTGTGTTGACTTTTCTAAACTAATAATATGTATTGGAACTATCCCTTGGTGCAAACACTTTATAATCAATGGGATGTTTTGGAAGAAAAATTATAAATGTAAAAGACAAAGTAGATTGGGGTTTTTTATATTTAGAACTAAATCCAACCTCTAATCTGGCTCTTATATACCACCTCCGGTCCTTAATATAGAAGTTAGTCGATGGTTGGATTTTGTTCTCAATATAAGACCTTAATTTACTTTAAGTTCCAAATTCATAATTCATTATCCAGTATCCCAATTAATTACACATATATTGTCAGTGGTAGGTAGATTATTATTGATATGTGTGTGTGTATATATAGGAGGCAGGGAAGATGGAAGAGGCGATGGCCAAAATTGGGAGTGGGCAAGTACTGAGGAATGTGCTTACAAGTCGCAAATCTGGTCCCCCAATCCTTCCAAAAGAAGGGTTTGGTTATAACTCATCAAATGTCTCACCTAACTTACCCCCTTGGCTCTCCCAAGAAGACCTTCTTTTTTATGCTTCCAAGTTTGATGAGTCTGGTTTTACTGGTCCCTTGAACTATTACCGAAATTTCGACCGGTTTGTAATTCCTATCATTCTTCCATTTATTTTCCATTACGTTCATAATTCCTGACTTGATTATAGCACACGTCATATAATCTTTCTAAAATAGTTATGTACTATCTCCGGTTTTTAATATAAGACTTTGTTTGACTTTTATTTTGATTCTAAATATAAGACTCCAATCTATTTTGTCTCTTATATTTAAGCATTTTTTTCAAGATAATCCTTTTAACAATGGTAGTTCTAGCCAGTACACTTGATTATTAAGGGTATTTTAAGAAAGACAATACCTATTTATTACAAATAACTAATTTAACTCATTTCCTTAATCTCCTCAAATTAGTCAACTAGCTCTTATAATTAGGACTGGAGGTAGTATATCATTAGATTATCTGTATCAGCTTAAGTCAAGAAAATTAAATTAGTTCCAAAAAAAATAAAAATAAATACTTTAAAATAATTTATTTAACTTTTTTAATCTTTCCAAATTCAGTCCATCCATGCAGTTTTGACTCAGTTATTAATTTTCTCTTATTCAACTATGCACGTATCTTGCATTTTGCGCATAATTGAAGACACGTACACAGCTGGAAAAAAGATAGGTTGCACATGAATCTTGAACCAAATTTCAAGTACATTTCAGCAATAAATTTTGCACCGAAAGATTTTTCAGCAATTTTACAAAAAGAAAAAGAAAAAGAAAAGTTTATTAGATAGGTTTCTTAAGTGGGAGTATGAATTGAATTGAAACATGCAGGAACTGGGAACTGACAGGAGCATGGACGGGGGCGAAAGTGAGAGTGCCAGTGAAGTACATAACAGGCGAGTTGGACTCAGTGTACACTTCTCTGGGCACAAAGGAATATATAGAGAGTGGCCGTTTCAAAGAAGACGTTCCCAACTTGCAGGAAGTTGTGGTGCAGCCAGGCGTCGCCCATTTCAATAACCAAGAAGCTGCAAGTGACGTTACCTCTCACATTCTTCACTTCTTCACCAACTTCATCTGATATATATATATATATATATCCACCAGCATAAACATTCATGCATGAAGCCTTCTATATTCCAGAAATAAAACAAGCTATGTGTATGTATAAAACCCTTATGCTATTTATATACTGAACCCTGTGGAAATTAATAACAGTTCAATGGAATTCAGGAGTTATTTATCTCTAAATTTCAATCACTGGTTTTCTCCCTTTCTGTTTTTATTTGGTTTAGCTTCCATTAATAAAATGGTGCTTGAGTAAAATTGTAGAATTATCTTAATCTCGGTTAAGATGTATTGTTCATTCCATGGGAGAATTACAGTAGAGTCCTAAGAAAAGAACGTAGTAGTTACTATAAAGTCTTAATAACAGTTGAGTGGCTTATAATAATAAATTCTAAAGTGAGAAGTAACAACATCTAACATGTTATTGGGACTTTGTGATGGTTATATTCCTTCTGAGATTTCATTGTAATTCTCTCTTATTCCATTCACTTTTTATATTTTATGTTAAGAAAAAAATGTTAATATAATTTTTGGTTATTAAAGTTTGCACGCATTTTGGTTTTATTCTCTCAATAGATAAAATGATCCATATCTTTATTAAATCATAAAGACCAACAATGTTTTAAATTGAAAAAAAAAACTTAAGGATTCAAATCAAAATGAGGACAAACATAAGAAATTAAAAGTTGTATTAACCAAAAAAAAAAAAAAACAACCTGGGCTTTTTTCTATAGATAATTATAATACAGAAAATTAGGCTTGAATAAGTCATTGATTTTTGCATGCTTGAGAAGTACTCCTTTAGTCTTATTTATAAAGCACTTCTAATATATTTTACACAGACCAAGAAAAACCTTAAACTGTATTAACTCTTCATTAAAATATAGCAACTTTCCAACTTGACCCCTATTTAATATATACACCTTTTAAAAAAAATAATTATCTATACTATAACAAATGAATGATAATACGGTACATTTATAGTAAAAATTTAATGAAGTGACTTATAAATAGGATTAAAAAAAGCTTCTCTCTACTCTAGGATCAGATAAATATATTTTATCTCTTTCAAATAGAATATTTGCATTGTTGCTCTGACTTCTGAGCCTGCAACGCACAGAAAAGTATATGTGATCGTGATGCTTCTCTCTTACCATTATATATATGGGGATACAAAGTGCCGTTGATATTAAATTATTCATTTTTAACCAGATGATAATTAAACTATTCATTTTTAAATATATATTATTAATATTTTCTTATGAAATTATTTGTTGATTACGTGTGAGAAGTCAAGTGCAACATGGCTTCTTGTTAGATTCAAAAACACGTGCCATCAACAGAAGACATTGGATTGTTAGATTCATGGCCACGTTTAAAAAGATGTGCAAGTACCTGTTTGGATTGGAAAAGTGATAAAATATGAGAAAATGGTCAATTAATCAAATCATCCATCAAATAATAACTGATTTGGATTTACGAGATTATTTTTTTTATTTAGTAGAGTTTCCTGTTTCTATAGTTTTAATCCTATTTAGTAGATTTTTCTGTTCCTATAATTTCTTTTGCTTAAAAATTAAGTTAGGGTTACGTACGTTGCTAAGAGCTCTATCAGCAGGGCAAGAAAAATTTTCATTTCGGCATTTTTTCATGTCGGTGATTTTGATATAATTAACTCTGTTTAGATTTCATTGATCAAATCCATTATTAAATATATAAGTACTAAAAAAAAGTACTATGTCTTTGACAAAGTTTTTTATTTTTATACTATGATTTAAATAAAAGTAGTGGTGACGTATTAATTCTAATATATACTAAAATAAATAATATAATTGTAAATTATCAGCAAAATTAGTAACCCAACTACTCAAAGGAAATAAATTATAAAGAAGGAAGGACGTTTATTTCTTTAAATATCAGAGAAAATTATGGAGAAAATATTGTCGAAAAAAATTCAGGAGATAAGAGCAAATGGCAGAGGCAGATCTAAAAAATTATCATTGCCTAAATCTTATTTAAATATTTACAATTACTTGTGCCAACTTGTATTGTTTTTGAGGGTTTAATTTTCTTTTACAATAATTCTTTCTTTAGAATAAGACATTAAATATTTTTACGTCATTTATATGTCTAATGTTTATTCATAAAAAATAATGATAGATAGAGCTTTTTATTTTTACTAGACTAATCGATGGGGATTGAATGACACAATATTTAATACTTTTCTTGTCTTTATAAGATCTAATTAATCAATTTAAGTAAATTAAGGATGTTAATTAAATTAGTTGATACGATATTTTTTTCTCTAAAATATCTTGATTATCTTTCTTAATCTCCTTCTTTCCTTTGTTACTTGATTATTTTTAAGAGAATATCAATGGGGTTAATTTTGGGAAAAAAACAAAAAAAAAATATAAAATAGGTCTTACATATATGAATAACATCAACTTTCAAATTAGATGCTGCATTAAGGACTAGAAGAGTATATTTAATATAAGTACGAGTCTGATACCATTAAATTTTTCCTAAATATAAATTATTTATAAAATTGTATGCGGAAAAATGTTTTAAAATAGGGTAATTCAATACCTCTTTGTACACTTACAAAATTATTAAAACAAAAAAATTGAAATTAAATTTATCAAATTAAAATAAGTCAACTGACCTTTAAAAAATGCTTTTGAAAAAGCTACTCCCAATTAGCAGAACCCAATGAGATGGCCATATGAAAAATAATCAATTGAGTTGCATGAGTGTAAAACTAAATAATTTAATAAATTCATCATGGCCGCAAATTTCAACATTTACACAAGATATTTTGCCCATTTGGTCAAAAATTAGTTCTTTGCTATCTCTGTCTAAATCACATGTTTCTTTGAAACAAAAAATTTCGAATTCTTCCGTATCATGTAATATGATACTTTGACGGCAAGAACTTTGACTTCTTTCTTGTTGTGTACTCTCATTATCTTTATTATCAGGCACTTCTAATTATGTTATCTAAATCAATAAAAGATGATTAAGTCAATAACACTGTTTGAAAAATAAAAAAATATAAAAATTTATTCTTATTTAATACTATGAATTACATCCGAGAAATTATAGCACTTGCAAAATTAATGATATTTTAAATATGGGCAATTTCCAAAAAAATGTAAAATATCCGACTTGGTGACTTATAACAATAAAAACCATCTATTTCTTTTAAAAGGTGCCTTATTATAAGGAGCAGATGGATTAGTATATATTTTTTGTGCATCGATTAATTATATCAGCATGTTCTTCTTATCAATATATATATATATATATATATATCATCATGTTCTATTGCTTATTTTGTAAGTTTCTTTTTTCTAATTTTATAACCTTTCTTGCATAGTTTCTTTATATCTCACACTTGCATATCTTGCACTACTCTTTACGTTAAAAAAAAAAAAATCTACAAAATGTGTAATTTTGTAAATTTTCTTATTGATTTTTCAATTTATTATATTTACTTAATTTTAAGGATTTTTTATTTGGTTCTTAATACAAAATATGTATCTCGTTTTGGTTAATTAGGAGATTGAGACAAAATAACCCCTTCTCGTCTTTTCATTTTGTTTTAGGGATGGAGTATGCCTTTGAAGATATGGGTAGGTAAAGTGAGCCAATTTCACGCTTAATTAGCGTTTGAGAATGACTTTTGTTAAGCGCATGCAAATCAATTGGGAGTGGTTGGGGTGGCATTGCATAAGTTTGGTGAGTTCTAAGATCAAAAAGTGAATAGGCAAAACACCAGTACATATTCTGTCCGCTTTTTTCCCTACACATGTATTTTTTTAGTGGAGGCAATTATGTTTGAGATGTTGTTAGACATTAAATGTAAATAAATCTCCTAATAAAAATTTGAATTTTGATTCGTCATGTTGTTAAAGACTAATCCTTTCCTCAAGACTAAATCCATTGATATATTGTCTCGGATTCTATATACATAAGTTATAGTGGTATACCTATAGTGAACATGAGCAATTTGTAACCTATAGTTTAGTGTTTTGCCGAGGAAATACTTATTGATGGAGACTTCTTAACATGGGCAATTTGTAAGGATTAGGGGGCAAAATAAATAAATATTAAAAACAAAATGAATTGAAGTATTATACGAAAAACACCGGTGAAAAAAAAAGTTGTATTAAAAACAGAATTTGCGTGCGTCCAGCATATTTGTCGGAAACCAATCAATTGAGCAAGCTTGTCAAATTAAACCTAATGAAACTCATAATATCCAACTCACAGATTTGAGACTTTTCTAAACGCGTTTATTGCTTTAATACCTAGAGCAAAAGAGGAATAAGTGCTGCGTCCAAAAAAATTAATTAATATTCTTTGCTAACAGGAAACACTAGACATTTGGAAGGCCATTAATGCACGTTTTTTTAAACTCTTTAATTATATCAAAAAGGCATTTGGCACCCTAAAGAAGTATAATTATGTTAACTATATGCATATATATATATATATTGTAAAATAAGCTAAGTAAGAGAGTTAAGGTGCAGTTTTGCCCTGAAAATTTTTATAAAATCAATAGTGAAAGTATTAAAAAAAAAAGAAGCAAAATCACCCTAATATTGAACGTTAAATTTTTAACAGCTAAAAGGGACATTGCTATTTTTTTTAAAACACTTTTAGGATGATATTAATCTAACAAAGACTTCCAGGCATATTGGCAGGTCTAACATTGCTCCAAAATAGCTAATCTATGATTTTGATTGTTTTAATAATATAAAGAAACGTCCTAATTTGGGAGTCTCTAAGTTGAAAACCAACCAACCAACCAATAAATTTATGCATAAAATGTCAAAGGTGACAAACTCATGTATATATGTATGAGAGTGTTGGTCCACAAGTCATTTTGTCAATGTTGACATATAACAGACGGAATATATATATATATATATATATTCTCTATATATGTGTGTGTATAAAACAAGCGCAGTTACCTTCCTAACTAGTGAATAATAAATGATTTAAAACGTAAAAAAATTTTGGAAAAATAAATGCCAACATTCTCATTTAAAGTAGATGTCCTTTTTTTGGTGTGGGATTGGGTGTATTTTTTTTTGTTTTTATAAACTTAGGATTAGGAGTATTCTCATGCATAAGAATTGGGAACTAAACTCCCAATACCACTGGTTTAGGGGAATCAAACTCTTATTATTCATGTTAATTTGAATTGTTAGGTTGAAAATTATTTAAAAGAATTTTTGAATTCAAAAGAATTTGTATCTCCAAAATAAATTTCATCGATTCAATTTTGGCTAATCAAAATGGAGTGAGATAGAGTAGAGATTTTGCGTTCAAAGCCTCATAATGCCCCCAAAAATTTTTTTTGTATTTATATTTTCATTTGAATGATGATTATTAATCATTTAACCTAAACTTTACTTAACTCTGTTATGAATCCTCTTTTAAATATTAAAACCTACAGAAATTACAAATCACAATTGTTTTTTCTTTTGATTTGGAGATTAATAATCGAAAAATATATTAGACATTTTTTAAAAGTATTAATGATTATTTATAGTAATATGGTACTCCCTCCTGTCTTATTTTTACCTTTTAAATTTGAAAAGAAGTGTGATCCATTTTATAAGTTTCAATTTAAGTTGATCCTGACATTTAATAGATTTTTTTTAATATTATTTCTAATTATTTATTTTTTATCATAATTTTTCATGCATTCTTTTTTATGCTTGTTTTAATTTATTATAACGACATATTTAAAAATAAAAATATATTTTTAACTTATTTATTTTTCTAACTAATTATTTATTATTTGTGAATTGATTATTCAAAACTTATAATCAGAAGGAGCATTATTATTTTACGAGGGAATCTTTAATAATTATCACCGAAGTTTGCACTTTCCATAATTGTATGAACCATGACAGCCTGGAGAGTGGAGAGTGAATGAATAAGAGACAGAAGGATTATTTTCTTATTCCTTTTGTTTTCTTTAATTAAAGGATATTCCCACTTGCATATCCACATGGAATCCACCCTCGAGATTCCTAACCAACCTTTGATTCCACCTTCTTGGGCTCGTCCTGTCTTGTTGACTTTTACGCGGCCACCATTGTTACTTGCGGTTTTGTCTGAATTCTGGGTCCGCTCTTTTCATTTTCATTCACAGTTTTCTTCTCCGCTTAATACTTGAATCATTCCTTATACACACTCAGTATCTGTAAGATTCTGAAACCTTTTTCATTTTTTCCGGGCAAGTTGGAGTCTTGGAGATTTTCTCGCTGTGATTGGGATGTGGGATCCATTTTGGTTCATCGTGTGATCGGCCTGTGTTTTCAGTTTGATTTTATTGGTTTCTTTCGGTTCAAATTTTGGGTTCCGGCTTACGTGGTTCTTTTCCGCTTTCCAAATTCTACGTCGAAGTTTTTCTGTACAACTATCATAGTATGTGCTCGTGCTTGAGTTCGTTTCTGAAGACATTGCTTCTGTGATTTACACTGTCCCACTTATGCCTGTGTGGTTAACGTTAATTTGTGGAAAACTCAGTTATGAATCATGATTTTGTTTCTGTTTCAGCGGATTCATTTCTATATCGGGGTTGGAATTTTTCTATTTTAGTTTTGCATGTTGGTCGAATTTCGAGCCCAATATATACTTGTGAATTTGCTGTTGGGGATCCTATTAGGCACAATTCTGTTCTAGTAAAACTTGTTATTATTTTGCTATTTTGCTGAAGTGAGGCTTATTCATGTTGCGTTAAGGATTTCTCTGGTTTTTTCTCAGCTTGATAACTTCAACATCTGAGAGGAAAATTTGAAATTTGAAGCAATGTATTTAGTTGAGAGCAAGGGAGGTGCCATAGTGTGTATGCTTTTGGCCCTTCTCTTCTTGGGGACATGGCCTGCTGTTATGACTCTTCTAGAGAGAAGAGGTCGTCTTCCTCAGCATACTTACCTTGATTACTCCATCACCAATCTCTTGGCTGCTGTTATCATTGCTTTCACGTTCGGTCAGATAGGTCAGAGTTCGCACAATGAACCGAATTTCTTAGATCAACTTGCACAGGTTTGTGTCCATCGGATATTGTATAATGTTGTGACCCTGCTGCAAATACTGAGTAAACCAGAAATAACCAGCCAAAATATGCAACAGTGCGAACAATAAATGGGGAAAATCCTGAGGCTTTGATATTAATATTCAAGAACTGAATCAAAGATACAACAAGCTTCAATGCTTCAAGCCAAAGCCCTATTTCCCTCTAATCCCAAAATAGACTCACAACAACGATGACAGCTTCTACAACACAGGATTACACAGAATAAAAAAAAGAAGTAACCACAGCTAGCTCAGTGACACTCCCATGGCATTCGAGAGGCCAGGTCTCTCCCTCACCAACTCTCTTCTCAATTCTGTCCTAAGGGCATTCCCCTTCCATTACAAACCTTATACGTCCCCAAAAGTAGTCCTACACCCCCTACAAGGTTTCAGACCCAAAAGATAGGTAGCCAGCAGTCAATCAGAGTTGCTCCTCATTTTCTGGAACTCTAGGATAATTGTTTTGACCAGTGGGCTTCCCTTCATCTACCCTTGGTTGCTTCCTCAATTTCCTCTTATATGTCTTCTGAAAACCAACCACTATGTCAGCAGCTGTATCATATAACAAAAGTTTAATTGGGAAAGTAACTTTATAATCCTACATAGAAACATAATTGCTGTCATATTGATGCTATTAAGATGAGTTTCTCATAAATGTCTACTGAGTTTAATATGAATAATCTTTAAAACTATTGGGTTAGAAAGCAACTTTTTCATCCTTGAACTTTATCTGAAGTTCACCATCATTGATTACAACTGGTTTGTGAATCTGCTAAGGGATTTGATGCAGGACAACTGGCCATCTGTTTTGTTTGCAATGGGAGGTGGTATTGTACTGAGCCTTGGAAATCTGTCCACACAATATGCCTGGGCTTTCGTCGGTTTATCAGTTGTGGAAGTGATCACATCGAGCATAACAGTTGTTATAGGTATCTCACTTTGATAAGCTCTTCAAAAGAAAAAAAATGAGAAACAGAAAGAAGAAAGTAAAATGAAATGCACAAACATGTCTCTTAAGAACGAGAGGCTTAGTGGGCTCTGAAGGTTATGACATAGACAAAACTGTACTTTTTGTCCTTTCAATATTAGTAACAATGGGCAGTTTGCCATAACACTAAATTTTGCCATGCTGTCTTTATTCCGATTTTAACAGGAACAACTTTGAATTACTTTTTGGATGACAAAATCAATAAGGCTGAGATTCTTTTTCCTGGAGTTGGTTGCTTTCTGATTGCCGTTTGTCTAGGATCTGCTGTTCATTCGTCTAACACTGCTGATAATAAAGCCAAGCTCAATAGTCTGTCAAGTGATCAAAAAGACGGAGCTATGTATGTGTTGTTGTTTGCAGTTTTAATTGGGATGTGACTTATGCCTCTCGCTTGCTCATAAGTACCTTTTTAAGTTTCTTTTCATCCTACACTTTTTCGTCCTTATAACTTCCCCTCTTGACAGGTAAAAGAACATATAAAGAAAAAGGGGGAAAAGTTCTATACTTTGCGTTAGGCTTTTTCTAGGGGAAATTATATGACGAGGTGCTTTAGCTGATTTTGAGAATACTGGTTGCAGACTTGGAGCATTTATCTTAATATGGGTTTAGTGGTTAGTAGGCAATTGTCATTCAGTATTGTTTGCCAAAGATATATTAATCATTGGAACACTTAATTCCAGCTCTTTTTTTTTTTTTGGCTAGAATTTTTCAGCTCTTTTAGTTGTGCTAAAATGTGTCTGTGTTGTTTTTTTTCTTGTTCTTAACTGTTGTTGCCATCATTGTCTCTGTGTTGTTGTTGTTTTTTTTTTTTTTTTTTGGTTAATTCTTAACTGATGTTGGTAGTATTGCGCTGATGTTACCACAATTTGTCCTTCTACCAGGAATGTTGCTTCGTCATTGTCAGCAGCAACCGGAGGTAAGAAGCATTGGTGAAGCAAATTTATCAATTTTGTGGTTCCATTTATCTGACACATGCTAAATATTATTTATTATTATATACAGCCAAATTAAATGATATAGAGAAAGGAAGTGGTTCTGCAAACAAAGTGAAAGCAGGAACTGCAGCTTTCCTTATAGAGCTTGAGAAAAGGAGATCAATCAAGGCAGGTGGCTACGTTTTGTTAAAACAGCATTAGCTAACCTTTTTTCTTTATATAGTTACATCATAGAAGGCACATAGCATCTCAAATCAAGCTTAAAGTTTCATTCATTATTTTTACATTCATGGTTATATTTTGTAAGATGTCACTCATATCTGTAACTTTCATCCTCCAGGTTTTAGGGAAGAGCACTGTGGTTGGATTGGCTATAACATTCTTTGCTGGAGTTTGTTTCTCTTTGTTCTCACCGGCTTTCAACTTGGCAACAAATGATCAGTGGCACACTTTGAAGAAAGGGGTTTCCCATTTAAGTGTTTACACTGCCTTCTTCTATTTTTCAGTTTCTTGTTTCGTGATTGCCATCGTTCTGAACATCACCTTCCTTTACTACCCTGTCTTGAACTTACCCAAGTCATCACTGAAGGCTTATCTAGGAGACTGGAATGGAAGAGGTTGGGCCTTCTTGGCTGGTCTCCTTTGTGGTTTTGGGGACGGTCTCCAGTTTATGGGAGGTCAAGCTGCAGGATATGCTGCAGCAGATGCTGTGCAGGTATTATACTGTTTGTCACAGACCCACTTTTCTTTGAATCATGGGAAGAGATGAAGTGAAGAAAGTTATAGCAATAGAAGTGGGATTTGCCTATGTCAATATGAGACCTTGTTCGTTTCTTAAGAATAAAATGGAGTGAAAAAGGGAATGAAATGAAAAAAAGTGACTTTTTGGATGGGAAATAACTTTTATGTCCCTGGATAAAAAAATAAAAATAAAAATTATTAAATGGGGATAATATTGATTGATATGATAGAGATTGCATGCTTTGAATTTTATGCAAAGAATCTCATTTCATTTCTATCAAAGGAACCACATGTGAGCCTGGATCTTACCCTGATTTCTATCTTCCTTTTCATTCTGCCCAATCTTATCATATTTCCAGTGATACTTTAAACGGCAATTGAATATCTTGAAGCAGATCATACTCTTCAAAAATTAATATGCCAAGCCAATACATGATGGATCCTGATAAAAAGTGTGTTTGACATAAATGGTCAAGTACATAACTTAAAGATTACGTCCGTAACTTATAAAGCAGGCTTTTGCTTGCCTTACAACTCATATACCCTCACATAATGAATCTGTATGTTGTTGTTACAACAGGCACTTCCACTTGTGAGCACTTTCTGGGGCATTGTTCTGTTTGGGGAATATCGCAAATCATCGCGAAGAACGTATATACTGCTAGGTAGCATGTTGTTCATGTTTGTCGCTGCTGTTGGAGTACTCATGGCATCCTCAGGGCATCGTAAATGATTATTCAGGCAACATGTCATGCGCGCACACACACACACACACACATATTCATATCCACGAGTTTTTGCAAGGCTTCATTGTGGCAAGGGAGAAGCATCCACAACGATTGCTGGTGCTAATTACTAGAAGAAATTACATCCTACAAAGAAAAGCAAATTTTTCTCTTTCTTGTTCTTTCTTGACCAGAAATGGGAACAGCAAAGTTGAGATCTGCTCATCTATACATAGCGCGACTGGAAGTTTCTAGTTGTAGTTGCAACATCAGGAATATTTTATTCAATGTTGATGTTTTATTCTCGTTTTGTTCGTTCTTTTTTTGGGTGCCCTTAGATAATGTTTTTGCTATTCCACGATCAGTGGCTTTCTTTGCAGACATAGTTGAGAAAGGAATTAGATTTATGTGAAATGGGGTAAGAAATAGTGATATATGAGTACAATGGAGGGAGGTAGTGGAGGAGAAAGAGACACGGATGAATTGATGACGATGAAGAATAAAATGATAGTGAAAGTAAACAAAATGGAAACTTGGAGTGGCGATCATGGAGAAGATGCTTTGATAGTGAGTTTTTAAGAGCAATGTGTGATATAATCCGCCGTGTAGTCTCAAAGCATTAGGTAAAACAGGACTATGGATTAATAGAGAACAGGGATCAAAATTGATGAACTGTGTAAAAAAAGGTTAAAAGATAGAAAAGACGCTAGAAGGAGGGCTTGAACCTCCGACCTTGTGGTTAACAGCCACACGCTCTAACCAACTGAGCTATTCCAGCTTTGCTGGGGGAGTACGTCAAAGTAAGTATATAAAGTAATTCCTTCGGAGTCGAGGCCACTAATTATTAAAAGCTTACTTTTTTTCCCTTTTTTTTTAAAAACCCTTTTCCTTCTGTTTTTCCTGGCTCACAGTTAAAAGGGCTACACATTCACAGAGATGGCATCAGCAGAACTGTCCTATTTATGAAACATGGGCATTAAAATGGGGGTAAATCGCTTGCAAGATCTAAAGTAGGGTGGTGTTTAGCATCTTCACTTTGAGAGTCATGTTATGAAAAAACAAAGTAACAACCAGGCTCAAGAGAAAAAGGGAAGAACACAAGAATGAGCAACCACGCGGTATATAGATATCAATATATTAATATAATTTCTTCCACTAAGCTAATATCCAAAATGGTTTATCAATAGCTTAAGACACAAATCACTGTTCACAAGCCAGTCTAATTAAAATAATATAGACCTTGAGCTTCTGCTTAAGTGAGTTCATTTAATGCATGCATGTGGTTTTGTGCATGTCTTCATATTCAAATTTCAGAACACATAATATCTTCCCGTCATAAATATTTTGTCCTGTAAAAAAGTTTCCTAACGAATGCTGTCAGAAAGAAAGACAGAAAGTCGTAGTATTTCCTACAAATGTTGGGCTTCTAAATAACTTTTTGATTTCTCTTCAGGTTCCAGCGTCTTTGATGCTCCTTTGTTCTTTTCCCTTCCCCAAGACCTTTTCCTTTCTCTCATAATCCCTTTCTATTTCCATCCTCCTCACACCTCAGATCCAAAATTCAAAATCTCTCTCTCAAGCATCGCAAGGTGATATAGAATTATAGATCTCCATCCTCTCCTTCTATCCTTCTCACCCGTTTCTCTTACTTTCTACTTTCGGTTTTTGGTTTCTTTGATTTCCTTTTTTGCATGAAAATGTTGTCAACTTTTTATTATCAGTTCTTCATATTTGCCTTCATTGCATCGCCATTGGTAATCACGCCTCATTCTCTCAGTTGTCTGTCTTCTATTTCCTAGTCCTTTTCTCTTCGCAGTGATCTCTTCTTTGCCAAAATATGAAAAAGGTCTGTAATTTTCCGGCATACTTACCTTCCTTCCTGTTCTCTCCCATTCTTCCTTTTCCTTCTGCTTTTTTTCCCCCCCAATCCACTTAACTAATTGGTGAGACAATGAGAAATTGATTGCTTAGTTTCTATACCAGAAGCCTGAATTACTGCTAAGTTCCTCTTAATTTTGGCTGCCAGAGAAAAATTAAAGAAGAATATCAAGCAGATAGAACTTTGGTGACATTGGCCCTGATGGTACCGCATTACCAAAAAATGCTCTACTTTGAGGAAATTTTGACTTATTAACTATAGTGATTTCAAACACTAACTAGGAGAAAAGCAGCCAAGAGTTATTGCTTAGCAATAACAACACAATGAACAAATTACTGTCTTCAAAGTAATTGGAAAGTCCATAGTAAAATTTTTGAAAACTTCTGTATTCATCTAATAATATATTCACTCTCTTTGATGATAAATACATGAACTCCCCTTTGCAATTCCATGGTTCCAAGCATTAGAGAGAAAGCATGGTCCCCATAATTCTTTTCAGTTTAACTGAATTCTTGATCTAAAATTTTAAGTATAAAATATTCAAGTCCCTTCTAAGCTTCGAAACCCACAAGAATATTGCATGACAAGAAGGAATCCCAACGTGAACTTTACTTATTTGAATGAAATTAAATGCTCTAAGTAATGAAGTGGAGCTTGGTTATATCATGAAATAATCTCTAATTTCTTGTGAAAATATAAACCTTTAAAGATGTGTCCATATTATATGAAAACAAGTATTCTACATTGTATGCTATACTTATGACCCACCTTGGCACCTCTGTAAGGCTTAGCTGCAGAAAAGTAACTTGAACGTAATGTGCCTTTTCAACTGTTGTGGCTGGGATCTGCAGTGTTTTGTTTGTTGTATATATATTATTTCACTTACACATAATGTTGATTCAGTAAGTGTAGCAACGTTTTTCAAAAAGGGTGCTAATGCCATTCTCGAATGTGAAGTAATTGAAACAACTATTACTACTTTGATAATCATGTGCTTCTTTTTGAATGAAATTGTATGAGATGTTGTTATTACTTGAGTCATGATCAATGATAGACTTTTGTAGGATTCAATGTGATATTCTGCTCATTTCTTCCATCGAGGAATCTAAACAAGTTATGGAGTGGCATTACTATAGCTTAGTGTTTCCATGATGTTGCTTAAAACATTTGACTTGTCCTAAGTGCTATATGAAAAAACAAAGTTAACACAAGCAAGGGTAAACCTTAAATTCGGTGTCAAACCTTAAATAAAGTTTGCTAAAGTTGGAAAAGGAATTCTAAACCTTGACCTTGAAGAAAACAATTTTTTTTAAGGACGGAGCTATTGCCTTTTTAAACAAATTTAGAAATGAAGTGACCTCACTCAACTTTGGGGCCCCAAAAAAAAAGGGCCAATAGGATTAGGATGGGGCTTGGATGTTCAACTTCATATGATGTTCACAAGGTATTATTTAGTCCCGGATTCCATCCTAAGATAGGCATCCGTTCTATAATAGAAAGCATGCTTGATAGTTGTGTGCATGGAATAAAAACACATTTTCATTGAAAAAATCTCTATATCTAGATCATGGGAAAGCAATGAATTCTAGAGGGAAGCTTGAAAATATTTGGTTTGTAATTAAACAGAGTTGATATTTAATTTTTTGTAATTGCAAAAAAATAAATTGTAACTCTTATGAATGTAATTTGTACCTTTATAGCGCACGATTTGTATTTTGGTGGGAGAAGCTTCCTGTTTCCATGAATAAGAAAAGGAATGACACTCATTCTTATCAATGGATCCCACAAAGCCATGTGGAGACACATGGAACAGTTCTCAGAAATAAGCTGCAACGTATTGTTGTGCGTATTAGTATTTGTGTTGGCATTTTATACTCTTCACAAAACAGGTACTTTCATGAAAATCACTCCATGCCATTGATGGGAAAAAAAGAATAAAAACGTATGCAATAAATCAGACTCTTACCAATCGGTGGCTTTAATTGATAACTCCGGTATTGCTTTAAACTTTCACCACCCGCCGTTGTAACTCTAAACTTACTGGATCACTGGAATATGCTGTAGTAGGTGTATTGCGCGGCGTAATGTTCAGGAACTGGACTGTTTGGTCTGAGTTGGCATATGCAGTATCTTTTTCCCGAAGATTCCCTCTTGCCAAAAAACAAAAAAAAATACCCCATTGTATTTGTCTTGTCCTTAGGGAAAAAGACAAAGCCATCATTTGGATTTGGGCTGAACAAACAGGAGAAGTTTCGCCCCAGCGTCTCTCATCCTCCTCTGTTTCTCTCCATATCCACATTACTCTCTGCTTGTTCAGTCATATACTTTTTCAAACACCACCCAAAAAGAACCCAATTTTTTGGTGGGATAAGGTCGTAAGGGATTGCAGGAAGTAGAAGATGCTTGATATAGTCACAGCTTGAAGTGTAGGTGAAGTTTCTGGAACTGGAGTTTATATTTGCATCATGAAGATGATCGTTTTGACTTCTGTAAACCCAGATATTGACTACAAATGGTGTTGTGGTTTATAGTAATTGATAAGAAATAATGACGAGAAAGCAAACTTCTGTTGCGTTTAGATTATATATGACTATTCAGATTTGAGGAGTCTTGTTTATTAGAAAAGTTTTGACGATGAGATATTCGAGGAATCGATTCCTTGTATGTTTTAGCGCATACCCAGCACACACATCTTAACCATTATATATACATAATGATAGATAGATAGATAGATAGATAGATAGAGAGAGAGAGAGAGAGAGACCCCAAAATATATATATATATATATATATATATATATATATATAAACGGGTTTACTTACGTACCAGAATCCACCCTAACGTATTTATGAGCCACTTTGACTTGGAAAGCAAGTTGGTAGTTCACTTTAAGTTTGTTTTTCAGATAGTGGGTGGAATGGGAGAATCCATGTGGTATTCACAAGGTATTATTTAGTCCCGGATATATATACTTAAACGGGTTTACTTACGTACCAAAATCCTCTTGGCGCTTCTTCTAGTTTGTTCAATGCATCATTATGCATTTTCACATGGAGATCAACCTTTGTCAAAAATTGCTGTTCATAAAGCTACAATTTCCCTTCTTGACCCTGCTTTTACCAAAGCATCTCCAGCAGTTCTTGGATTAGAGGTAAGTTTCAGGAGTTTTAGAGGCAGTTCATTTTGTGCGTATTCTTGGCGATCACCAACTTTTTGTCTATATTTCCGCGTGCCATTTCAAATATCATTTAATGCTGGTGCAAATTTATCATATTGTAGGGGCAAACTACAGAACGGGTAACCATGGCATATAGCTCTCCTATTCCATCAAATGATGATTGGGTTGGTGTATTTTCTCCTGCAAATTTTAGGTATACCAGGATCCGTCTAATTCTAAACTTCAGCCTGAATATTCCTTGTAATTATCTTAGCTTCTTCTT